GCCAGCATGCTGGCTGGGGAATTCTGGGAGGGGAAGTCCACCCCTCTTCAAGGGGCCGAGGTTGAAAAACACTGTGCTAACTAAAAGGGTAGACCAGTGTTTCTCAACCTCACCAGAAGAAGAAGAAGAGGAGGAAGAGGGGGAAGAAGAGGGAGAAGGGGCAGAGTTTGATAACGCCATTGAACCACCACCTTGACATTTTTGACCCCATCTGCGGAAACTCCTGGCTGCAGAGAAGAGCAGAGGGCAGAAAGTTTCAACTTTCTTTCCAGCTAACGTCTGCTTGTGAAACGGCAGAGGGACATCCTTCTGCACAGCCTATAATAAAAATCGGTTGGTACGATCCCTTGGATTAATTTTATCTTGCTGCAAAGCGGAAGAAAAAGACGCTATGCCCAGATCCGACAAGCGCGTCTCCGTTCTCCGAGATAATCTTGGAGCGCATTGTTCTCACCTATGACCCAGACATCAATAAATCCATTTGTAGGTCATGCCTTAACTGAAGCAAGATCAGTTTGCGGGATAGCATGGACCTTGGGCGCTGTGTTACGTGTGTGTGTCTTTTTTTAAGGACTACATGCTACAGATCACTCCTAGGAAACATTTTCAAATGCATGTTTTATTTATTTATACGTTAAGGAACATACTCTGAGTTGGGGCAGGGCTACAATTTGGGAATGGAGTGGCAAGGTTTCCTGAGCGCTCAAAAGGCTTGACGTGTTTATCAACGTAGGAATTTTTCCAACCCTTTTTAAGGTAAGCTGTCCATGTTATTCCCCTAGAGTAGATGCAAGAAGGGTGAAGCTGAATCACTGCTTATTGTTGCTTAGAAACCGCGTGGATGTGCCAATGTATTAACCATGGTTAATACACTTTTGCAACTTTTGTTCTAACAATGCATAGGAGAGAGGGCGTCTTGCTTTCACCCTCAAGCTTTAAAATATCTTGGTCTACACCACTGTTTCTCAACCTTGGGACCTTTTAGATGTGTGGACTTTCACTCCCCGAATTTCCCCACCCCCCCCCACGGTCTGTGCGGCTT